CACTACAGATTACAGAATACATGCCCCAAAATGTATTTTGTAACGTGTTCTGTTACATTACTCAATGAGAGTAACGTATTCTGAATACTTTGGATTACTTAATATATTTTCATGCTTTTTACAACTACATGAATGTGATTTATTACTATTACTGAAGGTCCGCGGCTCTGTCTGGCGCTGAACAGAAATTATCGCGCTATGCTCCTTTGTTTATTGTGCATAAATAGTGAATTGTCCTGACAGAATATTGCGTTTCGATTCTGTTATTACCATGGTACATTGACAAAAACATATACTTTTATTCACAGGATAAAACAGTTTTTTTGTATCACTAATTGCCCAGTATGATTACAGCATACAATATTATTGTCACTGCTACATTTCTGTAACGCACACCAGAAATTATTTCCACTACTAATTAATTACCGTTGAGCTCAAAGGACCTATTAATAAACGGTTAACGAATGTGTATTTATGAAGACGATTTGTGAGACTGGTAAACTTACCTTTGTTCGTATGATGGTCTTTTGTTCTACTCGATGCATTTCAAGGTCCTGTACCCATCCGTCAGCAAACTGTATCTGGGCTTGTTGCAGTGACCTGAAGTTACTAAAAACTTCATGAGTGTGTGCACTCACTCCAAGAACCGTATGATTATAAATATGAGCGTGGTGAAAGTTGGGCAGCACACTGACGTCTTTTGTCCACTCTGTGTGCTCGTAAGGGTCTGACCCTTTCACTCCTTTGATTTTTTCCTCGTATCTTTTCTTTGACTTTTCATCAAGTCTGTCTTTGTACGGACCGACATTGTTCTCCTTCGTTTTGTACATTCCTTTTTTGGGGGGCAAAGAAAAAGCAAGAAGGTAAAAGTCTTATCATGCCAGAAGTCAACCAGCAGTGTCGGCTTGATACCAGATCTGGGCCAGACCTCCTTGCTATGTGGGTAAGGACAAAGGACAATAGTACCCTAACTGCCTTCTACACACAACATACAATTTGGATAAATTCCACTGTGACAAGGAGAGGATTAATTTCCCACCTAGGAAGGTAGGTTGTTTATTTACAAGCAACACTCATGAACTTCATTCATTAATGTCACTATACACAATAGGTGAAGTGCAGACATTAGTATACCTCAGTAGTTACAACTTTTAAATACTCTGGCAGAAACAGTTATTTTATTTTTATTTTTGATTTACACCAAAACCTTCCCATATGGAAAAGAAATAGTAAAAACTTATATGATTTACTCATGAAAGTGGCCACTTTCATATATTGTTTTAGTAAGTATCCAAAACATACAAGTTTCATTATATAATTTTTCAAGGGATCTTATATCTGTTTTCTCTATTGTATGCTTTTCATACAAGTTTCACACAAGACAGATACAAACTTTATAAGATTCTTGCCAAATGAGGGAAATCACATTTCTTATTTGGTTTGTTTAACAGTGTTCAACACATTCAGACCACACCAGGGTTTATGCTACAGCTGCTCTAAATTAACAGAACTGGTAATTACCAAAATCTTTTTTTTTTTTAATTTCTATAGTGTTTAATCCACTATTAAGCCAGGTGGATGCAAGCTTTTTGATTGAAGTTATATTTTAATGCTATGATATAATTATTGTTGTTTCTACTCTATCCGAGTACTCTAAGTGCTACAACAATCCTCCTTCATTCACACTCATTCATGCAAGCACTTTTTTTGTATGCTAAATGCTTTCTACCCAACATCCACACACATTCACACTCTGATGGATGCATTACAGTGCAACTTGGGGTTCAGTATCTTGCCCAAGGATTTTTGACATCCAGACTTGAGCAGCCACCAACCACCAACCTTCTAATTTGAAGATTGACCTGTTTTACCTCCTGAGCTACAGCCACCACTATTTCTTTAATCAAAATAATATTTTTAATGTTAAAATTAAATTATTGTTGAATGTTCTAATTTACCATTTTTACAAAAATTCAGAAAAAATAGTAAAACTTATAATTATAATTATTATCCATTAATTTTCTTACTGTTTCACAAAAAAGCTGTAAAACAAATGGATATTTTTTTTTATTAAAATGTCAAATCACACATATTTACCTACATTCTCGAACAGAAACCTTAGTTTTAGTGGTTGAGTGACTTCTAAGAGAAGTTCAGTGTGCCGTCTCAAATGTGGGTATAAAACGTGAATCTGGTTCAGTGAATTAAGTAATTTTTAGTTTCTAAATTAGTTGTGTTTTCTTCTTTTTATGACAAGTGTTAATCAGTCATAAAAACAAGAACACATATACATATACAAACAGTGTGTTTAATAAAAGCAGCTAAGTAGGAATTAGACAAAAGCCAGAACATCAATTAAAGGTCACTATAAAAGCTAAGAGATTCAGCAGTATATCATTAGGTTTGCATATTAATTGAAGGAAGGTGAAACCCAAAAGATAAACACAAGCAATAATGATAATATAATTATATAAATAACAATATATATTTCTTATTGCCAATAAATTCAGTATGAATTCCATCACTCTATTCATTCCTGATTTTATTGCTTTTAATGGATATGCTAATAGAGAAGATTATGATATATTACTGTACTTTTCAACACTAAAGATGAAAAAATTACCATGTATCTCTTGGTAACATCGGAGAATCCAAACATGTCTGACTGTCACCCCAAACATGATCATGTTAAAGAGGAACACCAAACTGAACAATCCCACTGTAGTCACCATCTTCACTTCATAACTGGTGATGTAACATCTACAACGAGAGTGCAGGTGTTCTTTTCAGTCACATTCACTCACATTGTAAAAGCAAAAATGAATTCTGCAGAAATATTAATGTGGATGCAATTTTACTCTGCCTATTCCTTTTTTCCATTTAAACATTCAAGTATACATGCACATGCAAAACAATTTAAGTTATTGTTGAGATTTTAAATGTCTGTAAATTTGCTTCTTACATTGCAGTATTGTTGGAGTTGCTGGATGTGTCCAGAGAGACAGGACGATAAAAGTCAGGAACACCTGAAATGCAAGAATTGAGCAATCATTCAAAGGCTTACAGACTGCTAATGACAGCTCCCTGCCTAAACAATTCCACTCACCCCATCCGACCACGCTGAGTTTGATTTGGTATCTCTTCACATAGATGTTGAAGACTTTGACCAAGAGAAGATATAGGTGGAACCCTTCCAGGGCCATCCAGCTGAAAGTGGCTAGCAGGAAATAATGAAGTAAAAGAGCCATGTATAAGCAAAGTCCAGAGGAGGACCCTGCTGCCACTGCCTGACTGGGCAGGAAGTGCAGGTTGAGGAGCATCAGAGCAATTAAAAGGTTGATGTGGACTTTCACAGAAACATCTTGTCTGAGTTTCCTGTCAGGTGATGTCATTGTTTGAGGAACATTAGGCCAATCATAAAGTAAGGGAAGAAAGCCTAGATGACAGTATTAAAGATGGAGGGATTATATTTTCTGCAAAAAGAAGAGGAAAATAGCAGAAGAGCACTCCTGCATTGCCTTTTAGTAATGAATTGAAGGAGAGAAAGACAAAGGCATTAGAAAAGAACAGTAAAAAAGTCTGAAGAGTTGTTGGGAGCAAGGACAACATGGTAAGTGGACAGTATTTATCTTGGAAATAAATCATTGAAAGACGAGTAATTTACCTATTTGTGATGAAGAGCGAAAGGGTGACAGCCAGAGCAAAAAGCTAAAGGCTGCAGCCAATCAGAGTAATGTCTGTTAATATCTTCAGGTCGTTTTCTGAGAGGGAAGCACTCACCTGTAGAGAAAATACACATTCACAATGACTTGTAGCACTTATATTGTCATGCCATACTTATCTGAGATGTTTATACATTTTGAATCGAAATTGTGTCCTATATAAAGGGTGAATAAATCTTCACAATGGTGTTACATTAGTTTAAAACCCACAGGTTCTAATTTATGTTTTTTTTTCATTACTAACTGTAATCTTTAAAAACTACAAATACAAATTTTCTATACCCTTTATATACTTATTTATTACATAAGTATATCTTATTCATTTAACCAGACATTGAGAATATATTTTTATTTACAGTGGTGACCTTTTTCCAGGAAAGGAGCAGATGCTCCTTTCCTGGAAAAAAAACAATGCTGCCATTTGTTTAAAATTCATCAAGAAATGGCAGTATCAGAAGGCTGGACGGCCACTACGGACTCACATATAAAAGTATATTAGAAAACTGTTTAGATACAGAGAGAATGAAAATATTGGCATGATATCAAAAGTAGGTAAAAAAAATAAAAAAATGTCATAATTAATTTCGGTCAGGATATTGGTGATGTGACTCTTGGGACTGCACCCAAAATGTACCTTTTGAAAGGTTCTCCAATAAATTATCTTAAAGTTCAAATAGCGTACATATTTGTTTGTTTATATTAACTAATGGTATTACAGGTATTAAAATGGTGCAGTTTTTATACCAAAACTGTGATACATCCCATGTTGATGCTCAAAGTTGTTTAGACAAAAAGGATGTGAGGGAATGAAACAAGATTTTGGCTTTAGATGGCTACAACTCTAAATTTTACTAGTTTATGAAAGGAAAATTCTGTCTGGCTACATTACATTACAAAGGTATTCTACAAATAAATAAAAATCAGCTGATTTTAAGGAATCAAGTTGGAACTGTTTTTAGATCTGATTGATTTAACGTTACTTCTGTTTTAGTAATAAACTCAGTAAAACAGAATTGTTTTCCTAACAGCAAAACAAGCATTATGCTTTTAACATTGGGAACACAGGTATACAAGAATATATGTTCGGATACAAACTTATAATGTACATATATATATAAGATAAGACTTTATTGATCCCACGGTGGCAACATTTTTGCTTTATCAGGTACAGATAGCTGAAGGAAAATACAAAAAATACAAATAAAATAGAAACAAATATAAAATGCGTCAGATAATACACTATATACAATGGTAGCATACACAGAATGTGACTATGGATATGTTTGTTGGAAATATGGGAGACATAAATTATAAACCATATAGTTATAAGCTATATAGAAAAGCTTACAATGCAAAGGGAACACATCCTCTAAGTTGCTCTTAGGAGAGATTAATTCCTCACCACAAAGATTTTAGGTATTTCATCAATAAAGTTTCAAACATAACATTAATATTCACTCTCGCTCACCTGCCTTGTATAAATAAACTGTTGTATGTGCTGTTGTATAAATAAACATCATGATTTAAAGAGGACATAATCATGTTGTCACTGTATTACAATATGAATTATACTGACACACACAGACTCTTATTAAGTTGTTGCTACTAGTGTTTAAACTAGCCGTTAGTGCTGCGTGTTTCACTGCTCATCTTAGTAGCTGAGGTTTTAGCCTTTATCAGTGACATCACAAACCAAAGGAAGATGAAGAAACCTACAGTCACAAAGGAGAGAGAGAGAGAGAGAGAGAGATGTACAGGTTCAGATGGGAAATGGATGAGTTCATGAAATCATGCATCTGTGTCAAATTTAACTCTAGTGAGATTTCCTTTTTAATGTTATGTAAAATGTAATAAAAAAATCTTATACTACTGTTTCCTCTTAAATGGTATCTATAATGAAAATGGATTTTTGTATTAAGCAGCAGAGTTGAGTATGTGTGTCCACCCATAAAAAAACACCAAACAAAGTGGGCATCCAAAGAAGAGGACACCACAAAAAGACTGTTTCCTCTCCCTGTCAGCACTTGGGACACGCAGGCAGCCTTCCACCAGTGTTGGGACTAACTCGTTATTAAGTAACGTGTTACAGTAACTACGTTATTATTGTGGTAACGAGCACGGTAACTAGTTATTATGCCAAAACCAGGAACGTGTTACTCGTTACTGGGATTTAGATAGGCTCGTTATTAGTTACTTCGTGTGGTGGCTATCGCGGAGCTTCCACAGATTCAATAACATTAGCAAGTGGTGGAGGCCAGCAGGTGGATGAAAGAAAAGGGAGGCAAGAGGAGAGACCCGAAGCGGCCGCTGGTC